AGCCTCATTACACAGTGCTGCCAACTCACTCTCTAATCAGATTGATTTCATCTGTTTAAGTACACAGTGAACTACCTCCTTGCCATGCCTTGGCTGGTAGGAGTTCTTGGGAAGGCGAATAGTGACAGGAGACCTGGGAGGATCACGCTGCCATGAATACATTTATCAGCCTGCATCAAGCATGGATAAACAGAGCCAGCCTTGATGTGTGCAGTCATGCTGCCAGGTACCGCTTCCCACACGGTCCCGTTTCCTCATTTTTCCGGTCTTCCCACCTGCTCCTGGCTTCACGGATACCAGCGAACCCTGACCTCAGCGGTGTGCTAAATTCATGCATTGGCTTGCACTTTGTAAGTATGTTTAACAAATGTTTAGAGCAGGTTATATTCCATAAAGAGATGCTAATCCGCCTCAGCCTCAACCATTGCTTTTTTTTTTTCTCTCTCTAGTCACGCACTGGTTTAGGTGCTGCTTTCAACAAAAATGTGCCTCAAGTTACCTGTTTTCCAGTCTCCTTTTTCCTCCTTCCATGCATTTCTTTCCTTTCTGCATGCTGCCTGATTTTGCTGCGTTAGCCTGCCAGTTGTTCTGGCCAGTAACAACCACAGAAATGGCTCTGACTTTGCTCCGAAGAGACAGTAGTAGCCTTATTGTCTGAGAATCCCCTTTTCACTGTATTCTCTACCATCTTAAATGCAAATTTTTGTAAGCCTGATGATGATGATGACATGCTACAATGCTATCCATATTTCTGGGCAGTTTAACAGGGTGGGAAGATGCTGTTTCATGGGGAGATAAAGTGAGAGTGTTGTCAGTAAAAAGGTACTAGCCAAGCTGGCTAATATTTCATTTGTAATTATTAGTTTCTCATACTCTAAAAATCATCTTTCATGTTGCACAGTACGGTCTTTGCCTTTGTGTAATAGTCTGAACACGATGCTTACACTCAGTGCTACTGCAGACCAGCCTGTGCCTATTGACAGTTTGTTTTTTCTCTGTTGTTACACCACTGTCAACTGCTCCTCTTTGTTGCTGTTGTTTTGATTGGCACATCTCCCAGCATGCATATTATTTCCACATATAGAAAGGCTGATGTTGCTGTACAAGCAAAAAGTCCCTAGTGGAAATGCTGCTTACACCAGCAAGTATTCTTTTGATTGACAGAAGCTAAATAGCTCTTTCTTTCCATAAACCAAAACAGCTTAAAGCAATTTCCTTGCCGGTAGAACAACATCTAGCAGTCTTACCCCAAGACGGACTACTACACCTACTAGTCTTACACCAGGTGCGACATTGCCTGAACATATCACACCTTTTCTCTATATTCACAGATGAAACTTTGATCATCAAAGATGATTTTGAGATCATCAAAGCTTTTAAGGGCATTAACAGATGAATGCTCATTACTCTTATGATGATTTAAGTATAGAGCAAACCCAAGACTAATTTCTTCTAGGACAATGTGTCCAAAGGGTGGGCAATATGAAAGCTCCTTGCTAATATGTCATTGTCTTGGTCCTACACTCAGATACACACACACGCATATCCCATGTGGGGTCAGATGTGCCAATTAGAAGATGAAAACAGAAGATGTCAAGCCCAGGATCTGACCAGCCATAAACATAATGAACACGCAGCCTGTTCCCACTATGGCCGAGGGGATTTTGGAGATCTCAGGGAAGAAATTAGCAAGGAGTGGAACAGGAATCACATTAAGTGTTGCAATATTCTGGATCCAACCCACAGAGACTAGATGAGCCAGCTCTGCTTTGGTCTGGCTCAGTCTCTCATATTAGATTCAGACTTGATCTTATACAGATTTCTCCTTCAGAGTCCATGCATTACACTAAACACAGTCCAGGTATCACTTTTCTTCCTTTCCCATGTTTTTGCTGGATTGCAATTAAAATATGTCACACTATAAAAAATAACATAATTCATGATGTGATATTCTGTACATTTTGGACTTTTTTGCACAGCTAGGACTGTTGAAATTGTTCAAGCTTAAGTTTCCTATTAAGTGGTTACTATTTTCCCTTATCCCCAGGCAGCAGGTATATTTTCTCATTTGTATATAAATGCATATGACAGTTTTGATTTTGCCCTCCTGTTTACTTATGTTGAGTCAAATTTCTGTGGTTAATATACGCACATAAGGATTTTTACTATATTATAGTGCATTCAATGGATTTGGTCTCCTTCCTGAAGTTACATAGGATTAGACTATTCAAGTGTAAATGCTTCTTGATAATTAAAGTGTAACTAGCTAAAACTACATATAGTTCGCATATTTATAAAAGTTTTTTTAATCTTTCATTTGTTCTTAAGCTGATACATCAGTTCTCAGCCCTACTATTTACATCTTAATTGAGTTATCTGAGCCAGATAGCTTTCAGAGCACGACTGCAAATTGATAGGGCTTGATCTATTGCTTGATCTGAGTGCAGTCTCCAATTAAATGCCAATCTCTAGGCACTTATGTTTTGTAGGCTTAATTCTCTGCTGAAAAAAAAAAAAATTCTGCAGTGTTTCAGGACCTAATTTACTGTCTCATGCTGACATTACCACTCAAAAGCCATGAACAGACAAAACTGGTATTTTTTCCTGACTGGGGTCTAGCATGACAGCCTAGCAAAAACATGCTACACTCTGTCCTTCACTAGTTCAGCTTTCTGGGCTGTCCCAAAGCTGGTAGGTGGCGCTGATAATGCATCACTGGAAGCCAAGAACTGATTGACATTGCAGATGCAGTGCTGCTCCAAGCCTTCCATTCATGGAAGTGGACTCCCTGTTGAAACTGAATGAGGTTATTCTCAAAGGTCTGTTCATTATCCACTGAGATGGCCAGCAACAGTTTTTCACTCCTTCCCCATCCCATAGCATGTTTGACTTGTTCTAGCATCAGTCTGCTCGATACCAATTTACACATGTATTTTTTTAGTGAAAGCCACTGAATCTGATGATAATTATCACTACCTACTCCGCAGGTATAGCAATACATCTAACTCTCTGCCATCCTGGAAGAAGGTGCTTTACAAATACAAAAGGGCAGAGATAGCTAGTCCTCCGTGCTATGTTTAAACAGATCCTCCTTCACAAGAGGATACACAAAGAACAACCAAGAAAGTCTGGGATCTTGGACAAATAAAGGCAGATGGCCTTCCCTTTTTTCAAACACCTGTACACGAAGAACAGAGATATAACTAACCTGCAGAGGATCTACATATGTCTTGACAGAGTATCAGTGCAAGTTCAAAGGTTTGGTAGGTTTGTATTCTCTATGGAGATAACAACTCTTCCCAACTCCTTTAAATGAAATGGTGAGAACTGCTTTCTCTAAGCTCCCTTTTCCAAAGGGAGCAAAGGCTTTACGGACCTAAAACTTTAAGTGTTTCGACACTGTTATTTTGAATACACTTCCCGTCCCCCCCGCCCCACCAACATCTTTAATGGGAAGAAACAAAATAGTATAAAGCATCTTCACAGCCATTTATAATCACAAAAAGGAAATGCATTGACTAGAAAATAGCCTGGTTACAGAAAAAGAAATTACATCTTTCTCTCTTTCCATATACTATTTCTGGTAAATACTCAAAAGTGTTTTCATTACAGCTTGATAACACAGGTGGGAGCTATGGTATATACAGCACTGTATCTGAACGTATAGCAAAGCAGGAGACTTATTTTTAGAGATAAATTGATATGGATATTTTAAATGTCTCTTCTGTCTTCTTTTCAAGACGAGGAAAAACCCTCCAACAAGACAGAATTGTTGGCATTCAGATGATTCCCCTTATTCCTCAAATCTCAAAAAATGTGTTTGTCCTAATGGAGAAGGATACTTGTATAACTACATGAGTGTGACCTTTGGTGAATGGTAAGGTTGAGGTAGGCAGTTACACTGACAAAGCTGACTGTGCAGTCAAACCCCAAGTCACAGTACTCAAAATCATATGCAGAAGTAGCAGAGTAATAGCTGTCAGTGAATGAGACAATAGCACCATTTGTAATGAGACAGAAAACAAGGAAGATATATCAAGGAGCCGGTTTAAAAGAGTATTTTCACACAGATACATAATGAACGAGATGAGTCTAGTCTGCATAAACTACTAGAACTATCCCTAAAATTTCTGTCTAAAGAACTTTATCCATCAGAAGATGTAGGCTGCTTCCCTTTACTGGTCTTTAGTCGTTTGATTAATAGTGGAAAACAACCCTCTGTAGAGCTAAACAGGATGAAAAACAAATACATCAGAATACATTTAAAGTCAGACAATTCTGTACAAGTTTGATGAAAACAAGCTATTTGTAGCCTCCCTGGTTAACACTAATTTTCCCGATACAGAATCTCATCTGTCCCTTCCTTGGGGAGATTGAAGGAGAGAAGAGAAATGGACACAAAGTGACAAAAAATGCAAAATTACTCCCCCTCCAGTCTATTCTACAATAGAGAGTTTAGATGACCAGTAAAGTGGGATATGCCAGGAGGGTACATTACAAGGAAAGGAATGTTAAATAGCCTTCTGTAGTTATCATTTCAATGATAACTTCAATGATAACATCTATTCAATATTACAATGATAGTTTCCTTTAGGATTCCAAATTCAGACAAGTAAAAAATATCTGTCCTACTCCAGGAATAGCTCAGTGCCAGTTCAAACAAATACTGAGGATTTACAATAAACATGACTGTGCACTTTGCAGGAAGGAAAAATATGCCCAATTTCATAACAAAAGGGTACAAAGCAGGAAGAAGAACTAATTCAGCAGTTTATCTGTTCTATTCTAGGCCATAATGTTTTCTGATGCTTCTGAACCG